CAAATTCAAACTCGGGAATCGGGATGGATGCCAAATGTGTTGTGTCTTGTCGAGGTTGAATCATGTTGAATTGATGGAGGCCCAAGGAGAATTGATTCGGTTTCACTGTCAAGTCCGAAGGTTTGTATTGAGGTTAGTGTATCATCACATAAAAGGTATACGTAGAAGCTCTCGAGTCCCGACCCCCGACTCCCATATTGACATCTGTTTTTTGTTTCCTTTTCCGCAGGGGTGTTTTCAAAAAAACAAAAGCTCTACCAATGGTAATTATCTTGGTACTGGTGTGGTCTACGCTTTACAGAGAGATATCACAGTGCTCAGCAAATCGTAGGCGTGGCTATCTCATGTTCACCTATCACACCGTTTCATGTATATCTCCATAAAAGTCTACTTGTTGGCCCTGATATAATAGATGTTTCTTCTCCGATAACCACCACCGCCGGCTCACTTCAAGTCGAGCGATATGCTATGCCGACTGGCCGACAAAGTTCAAAATCACAAATAAAAACCGCGGCGCTCAACGTTGAGCGTATATAAATGGTACTATGTACATTTACAAAAGAGGAGCAAGTCGCGAGACGCGATGGATATGCATATAAGTAGTATCTTACAAGAATCATGCCCAAGGAAAAATATGCACGCACGGGCGAACAAGAAAATATACAGAGTACCGGCAGAAAAAAAAGCAGCTATGTATGTACGTATACTAATCGAGAAACAAGAACGAAAACGGAGAACACGAGACCTTCATACTATAAACTTCAGCACCGATCGCATCTCGAATCGTTCCGTTTCGCCATAAAACGAGGATAATAAGTAACAAAAGGCACGACAAACGAACAGCACAAGCAAGGCAGTCACAACAGACGAATCGGAACCGACTACACCTCTCCAGGCTGTTTGTTCTTCGCGGCAGCAGTCAAGCTTTTATGGATAAAGGGAAGAACACCTCCTCCAGCGATAGTGGCCTTGACAAGAGTATCTAGCTCCTCATCACCACGAATAGCTAGCTGCAAGTGACGGGGTGTTATTCGTTTGACGCGAAGGTCCTTGGATGCATTTCCTGTTCAATAACAAAATCCAACGAGTTAGAATGAGGGAGGGACGGACCATGACTTGGATAGAAATACATACCAGCGAGTTCTAAAACTTCAGCTGTAAGGTATTCGAGGATAGCAGAAGTATATACCGCAGCCTTCGCTCCGATTCGGACGTTGTGTTGCGTACGCTGTTTGAGATATCGATGAATACGACCGACGGGGAACTAGTGATTTCAGGTCAGTTGAACGTTGAGGATACACTATGTGATCGTTGTTACCTGCAAACCCGCTTTCTGACTTCTCGTCACAGTTGTCCTGGGTTCCTTGTCGCCACCAGCATTACTAGCCCGGCCGCCAGATCCCTTCGTCTTGCCGCCAGCCTTGGGTGCCATGGAAGTAGCAGTGGAACAAAGTTGTTATTAACGCGTTTGAAATAAAAAGATGGCCTATCTATTATTTCGGCATCAAAGATATATAAGTATCGCGTCTAAGAATTGAAAAGAGGAGCTGACTTACCACGCGACGCGTTCTAGCCAAGTACTGAGAAATAACCACAGGAAGAATCCGAGTCTAGAAAAAAAGAGGATTTTAGTATATATTTGTGGTGTTGATATGGTTTTTGTGAGGTGTTTACCGAAAAGGATATACGACTGTGGCGGACAAGATGAGTGTTCGAGTTGAAGAAGCACAAATTCAGTCAACCAACGATCGCTGAAGTTCCCAGCACATGATTTGTCCGATTGGATCTCAATATCAATGATTGATCGGGGAGCAAGCGCCCATTTCCCTCCAAGCATTTCGTTTGATTTGGTTTGCATTGATAAGAAATACATTTATGTTCGTACATCCATTCTTCATGTTTACTGGCTAGTTTCTGGATAAAATTTAAGGAACGCCTTTTCCCTCTCTTGTAGCTTTCGCCATCTCCGACTGAGCTGTATCATCTGCATACCGTTGATAAATCGGTAAGTAGTGCTCTTGTTCACTCATAGTCTCCTGGATGCTCTTGCGCCCTTGAATAGCAGAGAGATACTTGCGATACCTTTTCCAAACCTCATCATCTCCCTCTTGTCCTTCTTCAGGAATACCCTGCCCTCCCTTGTAATGGTCAAAGACCCATGCCCGAATCTACAAATATATCTTAGTCCGATCCAAATAATCGAGAACGAACGTTGAAACTCACCAACCACGGCGCAACGACAAAATCAATTAGCTTTGGCTCAGCTCCAACAAAAAACGGCCCATCTTTATCCATCTCTTTCGTAAAATCCATAACATACCCCAACCAATCATTCCTAACCTTCTTCAACCGCTCCTTCGCTTCATCCGCACTCTGCCCCTCTTTTGGCTGGAACGATAAAAACCTGTGCCAACTCGGTATCATCCTACTCGTCACAAAATCCTCCCAAATCTTCAACCTCGCACGTTCATACGGGTCCTCCACTAGCAATTGAGGCTTATACTCTGGATACGCATCTTCCAAAAACCCGACGACGACAGTACTCTCGTATAAAGGTTTTCCTTTATATTCAAGTGTGGGTACCAGCCCTCGAGGGTTGAGTTTCATAAGAGATTCGGGTTTTTCATAGGGGTTTACTTCGATGTATTGATATGGGATACCCCTTTCTTCCAAGACTGTCCATACGCGTTGGACGAAGGGACAGAACCAGCTTCCGTAGAGCTTCAATGGCTGCTCGTCGACGTGAGCTTTGTGCACACGGATATGCGATGCAGTTTATTGATTAGCTGACTTGGCACGATTATGGGTTCTACTCACCAAGTACGATCTGCTTCGCGGGACCGGTGGCTTCTGGGTAAACATTCGCGTCGGGATGGGATTGCTTGGTCATGGTAGTTTATTTCAAAGAGGTGAGAGCGAGCTTTTGCTTTTAAGACAGGTACGCGATGACGCAAAATTGACGATTTATTTATTTCTCAGGCTTGATTGTGGTCACTTGGTCTATCAATCTCCTGGTTCTAGTTATATCCACTCTCGCCATTCGGAGGGATGAGAATCACGCTTTAGGCAGGCCTTCAAGGCCCAGACTGATATTTCTTAAATCTTCGTGGTCAATTGGTGAGATAAAAAAACAATCATCAATCTCTCGAGCATTCTTCCGATAATTTATCTCTTATAAACAGACTATACACGACAGACGCACAATAAAATCAAGTCTTGACTACTACATGCATGAAGAAGACGATAAGTCATTCCCGGCTAGCCTTGACGGACCCTTGTTACGATAATAACCAGTTCCGTTCCAGAGCATTTCCTTAACTCAGATGGAACACCCAATAGCATCGTCCCATACCCAGATGCGGCGTTTAGGTTTAGAAGACGGGTTTGCCCTGAGAAAGCTTGAGTGTCAGTCGCTTCGCTGTTGGCTTGGGCAAAGTCTTGGACCGAGGATGATGTAGAATTTGAACCAAGCATAAATTTCACTTGCGGGATTTTGTTGCATGGTCAAGTTTCTCTGGGTCGTTTTTGGGTGAATTATTGCAAAACCGCTTTCGATCTCCTTATCTTCATCAGCAAAACCTGGGTGTACTGGACAGCGCTGGATAGCGCTCTCCAGCACTCATAGCACCCATAGCACCCATAGCAAGGTCCCCATCTATCCAGAGCTATGGAATGCTATGGGCTGCTATGGATTGTTATGGCTTGCTATAGATTCACGGAACATCATCTGTCAGGTAGGATTGAATTCAAACTAATATATGGCCGCTTGAATTATTCTGCTCAAGTCTCGAGCAAGACAATAATTATAATAAATCATATATGTTGCATTCATGTAGTACATACTAAGTAGATTACTTAAACTACTAAGATATAAACAAACTACTAGTAAGTAGTATAACTACAGTACTAGTATGTACTACCAATGCTAATTAGAGGTGTCGGGCGAGATTGGGAGTTCGACAACGCGCTGATTCTTATATAGCTTTGGCGAGAGACTGACAGCTGTCAAATGTGACAGCTGGCTCGAGCATACGGCAATCTCATAGGAGCTCATAGTAACCATAGCAACATAGCATCTCATAGCGCTAGATTTCGTAGCTCTCCACTTTTAGTACCCTTAGACTGACTGGGAACCTAACTTTAAAGAGATGTCTACTTGTAATACAGGTCAGAGTTTACAGTGGAGTATAGAATGAACCTACGGTGGCTTGGAGAATATGTACTTTCATTGTTCAAACTACTCTTATCTCTTAAGCTTTCAATTATAGAGGTACAATTCATGCACACTTTCATCATCTCACACCGCCAATAATTATGCTTCAGCCATACTGAAGCATTTTGTGAAATAAAATATTTCAATACATATGCAAAATATATTTTTTCGGACAAGTATAGAAAATACATATTTCAGTGGACTAATGAAGGAATTAAATTCCAACCTTCTGAATTTAGAACTTTATACAGATGTGCAAAAGAAAATGTTTCAATTGGACTGAGAAAACAATAGTTTCAATGTGAACTTGAAAGTCCTGCTTTCACAATTAGAGCGAAAGTAATTGTTTCAAAGAAAAATTCAATTTTGCACTGAAAGATTGCCTTTCGCTGTCCGGTTTGGCAGGGGCCCGAACCGGGCCGAGAATTGAAGTGTTGTCTTTTGAAAGGGTTCTCCGAAACAAATACTTTCATTCTTGTGGTGAAATAAAAGAATTCAGTCTGCATTGAAACCATTGTTTTCAGAGCTCAATTGAAAGGTGTTCTTTCAGAAGTCTGTCTAAAATTCAAAATTCCAAGGGCCTGAATGTAATTCCTTCATAAGTCCAGGGAAATATTTATTTTATATGCTTGTCCGAAAAATTATATTGCATGTGTGCACTGAAATATCTCATTTCCGATTATGCTTCAGTCTGACTGAAGCATAATCTTTGGTAGTGTGTCTACACAGAACAGTGTGTAAAAAGTCTCGACGGAAAAAACCATCATTTGTAAATAGGGTGAATCACCTCCCTGGCTGGGAGTCGAACCCAGCTTTCGCGCGCGCAACTTAGTTCAATACTGCGGCTAATGACAAGCGCGTGTACTAACCGATATACTACCAGGGAGTTACGCGTAATTAACACAATCCATCTCGTAATTTGTCTAAATCTCTGACCCAGCATATGAGCGAACCTTCATTATCCTCCAGCGGGGGGCATTTTTCCCGTCTACGTGTCACTGGAATTTGACGCGCCAGTTAAACGAGAAGCACCGTTCCCAGCGATCCAGAGCCAAAACCTGAGGAAGTCAAAAGTATTACCATCGACTAGGAGATTTGAACGTAAGAAAGAAATTTCATCATTTCCGATCATGAACTCGAATCAAGAGGAACGAAAATTGAATCTGGGCTAATCCATTTAACATTGAACCAGTAAGGAAGAAGAGCTGTCAGTGCTCTGCATATATTGTGGAACCCAAGTACCTATCTGGCAATGTCCACATATAGACTATCATCGATAGAAAGACCTCTTTCAAACGAATCAGCCAGCCTCGCAGACGCAAATATATGCTTGAGATATTTGTGAGCACATGAAATAGCTACATCCCAAGACCACATTGCGAGATCACCAGCCTGCAATCGTGGCCAGATTTTTGACCAGACCGTCGCGTCAATGTCGAGGGAACCATCCCTGATGATTTTCTTCGTTTGTTCGGCCTTCTCGAATGCGGTGTATGCAGGGATTGTTCTAATGGGATCTGAGAACGGAATATCGAGTAATTCAAAAAGAGCATATAGCGCAGAGAGACACTGTTGTCGAGTGGCTTGAAAGTCAGGGAGAAGAAATGTCTGCAGGGGCGACGACTAGTTATTATAGCGCAAAAGAGTTACAAGCAAGTACCTACCTCGAGTGTCTGTGCTCGAGCAACACAGCATTTGATCTTCTGCACTACTTCAGCGATAGATTCATAGCGCTCTTTCGCTTGGAAGGTTTGCTGAAACCTTCTTGTTTCAGATGTTCAATGTCCTTTGGATCTCCAAAAACCGTACGAGCAGAAAGAAGGGCTTCAACAGGGACATGGCCCCACATCCACGAACCATCCTCGGGGTTACGAGAAATAACCAGATAAGACATGTCGCGTCCGCAAGCTGCTTTCAGATCTAGGGATAGTAAGAAATACACGTCCCATATACTAAAATTGAGCTCACTCACCCTGTTCAAGTTCGATCGGTTCACCAGAAACTCCTTCCTTCATGACCAGAACAATGTCAACATCCGAATCCTTATGAGCCCGACCACGCCCAACCGATCCAAATATCCCAGCCCATGAAACCATTTCCCGGTTTTCCTCCCTCTCCCATACTGGCAGCAGTCGCGTATACATTTCATCAAACGTTGGTATAGACATTTTGGAACGTAGCGTATCTCCGAAAGCTCCTAAGTTTGTCCTAAGTACAAACTTAAGTAAAACAGCCGAACCATGCCGAAAACAACTATGCCGGAAAACCTTATCAGCGACTTTCAATAATTTATTGCTGTTTTCAAAAAAGTTGGCGAAAGTGCCGGAGCGGCGCTTTTCATAAAATTTTCGAGTTTTCGAGGGTCGGGTTTCTATCGCTCGTAGATCACTCAGTTTTGTAGCTACTACCTTGTAATTAATTTCTATGGAATCTATGGGTCTCTACGTAGCGCCCCGTCTAATTTTCTAAGAGGTTTGAGTACCTTCGCAAGTTCATGGGCTAACCATCCCAGGATGCTGCTGTGAGCGGATTTCTTCTGGCTATGGCTCGAGTCAATGCATATTAGAGTAGTTTAGAGGTATTAGATTATAATTATAATGCATAGTTTGTGGTCTTCCAGATAGACTGAGGTTGGTTCGTGGCATGCTTGTCATCTGCGTTACTCTTTCCTTGTTATTCATCCATTGTAGGGTTATGGCTACTATGTCTGAACCTTCAATACATCCTCTTAGCACAATATTCATTCTAAAATCTCTCAAGAAGGCAGAAAATCTGCTTGAACAGTGCCCCAGGGCGGCAACCTATGAACATGCAATAGTACTCAAACCTCTTAGAAAATTAGACAGGGCGCTACGTAGAGACCCATAGATTCCATAGAAATTAATTACAAGGTAATAGCTACAAAACTGAGTGATCTACGAGCGATAGAAACCCGACCCTCGAAAACTCGAAAATTTTATGAAAAGCGCCGCTCCGGCACTTTCGCCAACTTTTTTGAAAACAGCAATAATATTTTTGTTTTGTTTTTGTTTGTTTTCAGGAATCCTTTCACGTACGCCCATTTGCGTCGACTATATTATTCTCAATACCAGTCTCAATAAACCTCGCAGTTGAGAAACCTTCCTCCTCAGAACCAGAACCAGGGTAACAAATCCGTACACGCTCCACCTCAACCTTCTGCCCCGCACTTCCTGCTCCGACCCACACACAGTCGTTTAATTCAAAATCGTAGATCATGAGAATCATCAGCTCGCGTCTCGGACGCGACGGCTGGCTGCAAGTATGAGACCTACGAAATTTTGGGGAGTTCAATTACTGGCCTATGTGATGCAGGTAACTGTAGGTAAGTTCTTAACGAATATTAACCGCGGATTTCTTCCCAAGCCGGAGCAGACTCGGTGAGTGCAATTGCACCAGCGGCTGAGCGATTTCGTCTCGTCGTTTTTGAGATATCTACGTCTATGAACGTCATTGTTCTCTTCAGTTCTCTTCAGTTGTGGATATTTGGAATAAAGGCCATGCTGCTGTCGATGCAGTCGTAGGTTCCGATCGACTTCCGGACTTTGGAGATGAGGATAGAGTTCCTTATGTTGATGCACTAGGCATTGCGATGGTGGACTGTCTACTCGCTATGATTAGGGTGATCCTTCACGAACCACGATTCAGACGCAGACCAGTTCCGTCTAGAGAACTCCCTTAACTCAGATGCAACACTCAATAGCACCTTCCCGTACCCAGAAGCAACATTTGGGCTTGGAAGCCGTATACGCCCTGTGAGGATTTTCGTGGAAAATGCACTTTGGCTTTCGGTCGCTTCGCTGTTGGCCTGTTTTAATTTGGACAAAGTCTTGAATGAAGATAGTGTAGAAATCGAACTACTTAAGCTTAGATTGCATTGACGGGATTTTGTAATTAAGTGTTGAACATCAGGCTCTGAGTTGTATTTAGTGAACTAATCATTGCAAAACCGCTTTATATCGCGCCATGATCTAAACAAGTCGATATGATGATCAAACAGAGCTTTGAGTGGCAGATTCATACCTCAAAACATCGTACCCTAACTAGGAATCCAACTCCTGAATTACAGGCTGAGCACAGCTTCAAGCGAAAGACTAGTCTTATCATGTTTACAGTAGGGTGCTGTTTTGGAGGATAGAATGAGCATACTCTTGTCCCTCAAGAGTTCAATTGTAGAGGTATGATCCTGTCTGGAGGCGAATACTGCGTAAAAGAATCCGGCCGAGACAAAAATGATATGACAAGAGACACTGACCTCCCCGGCTGGGAGTCGAACCCAGCTTTCGCCGCGCACGATAAAGTCACAGAATATAATGACAGGCGCGTGTACTAGCTGATATACTACCTGGAAGTTATACTCAGCATATGAGCGAACCCTCATTATCCTCCAGCGGTGGCGTGTTTCCCGTCTACACGTTACTAGAATTTGACGCGCCAATCACGGCAGAGGATGTATGGAATGTGTTAATGGATTTCGAGTCCTATGGAAGTTGGTGAGTGTCGTACGCGTGTATTTTGGGCATCTATTAACTTTATTTTGTTTGTTTTCAGGAATCCTTTCATGTACGCGAATTTGGGCCGACTATTACTTGTATATTATTCTCAATCCCAGTCTCAATAAACCTCGCAGTCGAGAACAAACATTCCTTTCCTCCTCCAAAGACCAACCAAAACCAGGTCAACAAATGCTTCTAACAGTACACACTCCACCTCAACTTTCTGACCCATATTTCCTGCTTCGACCCTTCCAAGTCTCACAAACAGTCGTTCAACTAAAAGTCGTAGATCATGAAAATCATCGTCTGGCATGGAGGACGACGTCCTCGTCGTTCCCAGAATGGTTTTTATGGTGTGAACGGTGGCAGATGATTACAGCGAATCAAAAAAGGGAAAACTTGAACGACTCGGACGCGACGGCTGGCTGCAAGTACGAGAGCTACGAAGTTTTCGGAGGTATACTGGCCTATGTGATGTGGATTCTGTGTGTCAAAGCGCTTTTGCTGAGAGGCGTGGTGGAAATGGCGGAAGCGTTGAAGAAGAGGACTGAGAAGATCAGTGCGTTTTTTTATTTCGTTGTGTTTCTTGCAGTTGAGACTGAGCTTGGCTTGTCATAGACAAAGATCGTTAACCGACAGTATTTCGATATTTCTTACAAGTCAGTGATCAAAGACCCAGTTAGCGTTGAAAGCATACCTTTCACATTGCTATTTGTCAAATAATCGCATCCCTATGCCTAGCCCGCCTTCCTTATTCTTCTCGATGGCCTCGATAGCAGAAAACCAACCCTGAACATCCTTCTGAACTGGGTCTTGTCATGCTCGAATTCATATACCTGCTGACAGGGATAGCAACGGAGGGCTAGCGTCGATGTTAGAAATAAATTGAGGCCCTAGGACTAGGCAGGAACCTGGTTTCGAGAGGGCACGGTGCTAAACGTCAGAGTTGGTTCTCTTCGACCGTCATGCTTGCCTCCAGTTCTCTTCGTGTTCCTCTTCGCAGTAGCGACGTCGACTACAGACACTGGCTCACTGGCTGCCTTCAACGGTACTGTCTTCCGAAATCAGGGAGTTCCTAACCTCCATGGTACAGTGATAGCGTTCCTGACTCCATCAAAGTAAACGAGAACGCGCCCGGAACCGTCCAGGATGCAATCTGTCTGTTCGCGCACCCAAAAGCCATAGAAAAGCCGTCAAATCTTCGTAAAACTTGGCGTCACTTCCCAGAAGATACCGATAATCGCTCGCAGCAAGCAGCGGTGTTCTCCCGAGCACATGAAATCGTAAAGCTGTACCTCTGCGTTTTCTCGCTTGCCGTGCTCAGCTGTTTGCATGATAACGCGTCAAGCTCCACTGCTACAATCCACCCACG